ATGCATTGGAAAAAGATTTTGCGGAGGTGCTGGAGATATATCGGCTGTTCTTTTTGGTAATGGTGTTTCAGTTAATAAACGAATTTGTTCGAAAAATTCAAGTAATGAATCAAGATCAAGATGACGAACAACAAGTTCAAAGAATCTATATCGAATTTTTTAAGAACTCAATAAAGAAGAGTTTAGAAAACAAAAAAATAACGATTACTTGTCTGAACGACAAGATAATGCTTGAAGAATATTTGCACATGATTTATCATGAATATGACCAGTTTTATCAATATTAGACAATTGAAGAAGAGATGAAGTTGATGAATCATTTGAAGATGATGATAAACTAAAGAGAATTTAATATTGAATAATTTATAAATGAATAAAGAAATTTCGTCTCTATGCACTTTGTTAACCAATATATTTGTTTGGTTGTAATTGGACGGTGAAAGAGCAGGCTTCAAATTTTTAAGAAACTTCAAAAAACTTCCAAAGACTCCAGATGACTTCAAGAGACCTCATAAGAGTTCGGTAGTCTTCATGCAATTACAAAAGACTTGACGATACGTCTAAAAGGAAGGAAAGAAGAATACTACTGCCTTTTAGATACCTTGTGGTATAAGGTACTATCTTCGGATGGAATGCCAATCTGACGCAAAATTCTTGTACTCGACTGCTTGAGCTCTCCGCACATACTAACTAACCATAATAGCAGGTATACGTCACAACGTAGTCAGTATACTATTGAATGGAATAACCTGAGACAAGGCACCATTAGTGATTTGATCAGAACCATTCAATGGCTGATGGTACTGAGATTTGTACATAGTGACTTGTGAACACGTGTCGAACACAGTTGTAATTCTACACTTTTTTTTAAAATATTTTATTCATCTGAATAAAGAATGTCAAGACAATGATAGAATTTAATAAGCTAATTCTTAGAAGATAATATTGAAGATGTTTTAGTTAACACTTTTGGTTTTATTTGTAAATTAGCTTACTTTCCATTATTGAGTTCATATGAAACATGTCCATGTTGATGAAGTGTTAAATCAAGTTTTTCTTTCGGTGGACAACATTGCATTTCCAAAAGACATAAATGAACACAACATCTAAATAAATAATCATTAATAAATATTCTTCTATACATTAAAATACCTTAATATATATTTATAAGTAACAGTTGGACAATTATTAACATCATTCATATATAATTGAAGAATAAAATTAATTGCCATTACATCAAGATAATGAAGACGATTATGTTTCGTAAATATTTTTCTTTGACTATCTATAAGCGAACCTTGTTCAATAGTACTAACGACACAATGAAGAACATAACAAGCGTTATCAGGTAATCCTTGAAAAAAATCCATATTATGAAAGAGAAAATAAATATATATATATATTTACATACCAACAGTAATAGCTAATTGAAAAACTAATTTTAAACCTTGAAAAACAAGTTCATGTGTTTCAATATATCTTTCACTTATTGTATTTGATAAAATTAAATTTGATGCTGTAAGATCTGAATCTATTGAATGATTTTTTGTAAGCATTGGTGTCAATGCACCTAATAATGCACTCCAACAGATTTTTACCAAACGATGACAAATAGAAAGTGCTAAGTAATAATAAAGATAATTATTTCGAAACAAATTTTGATAGTTTTCATACCTATCGATTTTTCTTCATGTTTTGTAGTCGAATCTCCAATAGCTGCTTTAATAGATCGAATATTAAACGGACGAATATCTATCAAAAATAGAAATAAAAAATACAACAATTTTTTTTTTTGTTAAATACCTATTAACATTTGATGAAGAACTATTTTAAATTGTTCTGAAAGATCTTCAAAAATATTAAATTGTTCAGAATGAACTTCATTTAATGTATCCATCCAATCTGGTTCAATACAAAGCATCAAACCACTATTCATTATATCAGTTACAAAAGCACTCTTAAAGAATAAAAAAATTAAATTCGTCAATAATAAAAGAAAAAGTTTTTGCTTTCCAAATAAAATTACTTTTGAACTAGTCGACGGTATATTTGAATTAAATAATTGTTGTAATTGTCTTCGACAACAATACCATAAAAACCAAATAGTTGTTGCATATATTCCATCAGGATTTGTAACAATAGCTGTAGATGTATCTAATGAAAGTGACATTTTTGATGAATATTCTATACATAGAATTAAAAAGAAGAGATCATTATTTAAAAATAAAAAATTAAATAATAATAGATTTACCATTACTAATAAAAGATGAAAATTGTAATAAAGCATCATCAAAATCAGATACAGTTGTTATATGTTGTTCATCACTTGTTTTAAGAAGAATTTTTAAATGATAAATATAAAAATTAACTTTATCTAATGTTGATGATTTAGATGTTAAAGAAATTTCATTTTTATTTGTATTTTCATTTTTTAATAAATTTAAAAGATTATTTGTATTAATAAATAATGGTACAATAGGATAACGAAATTTTTTATAAAGTTTTCGAATAGATTGTTCTTCATCATTATCAAAAAATAATGCTTCATCACAAAATTTTAATAATTGTTCAAGACAATGATTAAGACAAAGATAAGCATTATTAACTAATGTTCGATCATCAGATGATGAACATTCAGCAATTATTGAAACAATCCTACATAAGCATTTTATCATTATTTTACTAGAAAATAAAACAACTATTTATCAAAATTTACTTTCGAAATAAACTCAAATCAGAATCATTAGTTGCTTCCATTGCATTAATCCAAGGTGGTGATATAAGTGATATTAACGATTGACTTGTAATCACCTGTTATCAATAGACAATGTGCAAAAAAATGGAGATGTTTTTTTTTTTATTGTCAAAAATTTTCATACTTCATTTAATACAATAAGTAAATCGGATCGTTCATTTGTTGTTTGAGATAAACATAAACGTTGAAAAAGTGTTTCACTTACAGTACGTAATGTACCGATTGGTGCAATAAAGCAAATTAAATTTAAAATAATTCTAATTATTAATAAATTAATATTATCAAAAAAAAAATGTTCATCGAAAATCTATACCTATATACTATTCGTCGAAGATGTGGATCAGATGCATTATTTTTCACATACATTATACATCGTGCATCAATAATTGGACTACCAAGAAATGAAATAACAGCTGGAGAATATTTTTTCCTAAAATAGATAATTTAAAATAATAATATTTGATTGATCATTTTACCAAATAAAATCAATAAATGGTTGATAAAAATAAACAGTACGATTTAATGATCTTATAAGCAAATCATGAAGTTCAAGTACAAATATTCGTTGAAGGGTTTGATCTGATTTTCTTGATAATTCATGAATAAGTGATGTTTGATATTCCATTAAAGTTAGCAATTGTTTATAATAATCTAATTCAATTTGATTCAAAATAATATTTCCATCATCTAAATTTTAGATATATTAAAAATAAATGTTTTAAATAATCATCAATTAATCAATAAAACTACTAACCTGTATATTGATGATCCTAAATTAAAATAAAAATTAATTAAAATATATTTGAGAAATATTTACACTTACTTCTTTTTTCATCAATGGACGATAATTATAAAAAGCTTCAAGTTTTGATGCACATAATTGACATATTTCTCGTCGTAAATCAATATTTGTTGTTCGTAAAATGCCAAGTGTAAACTATTTATATACATCAAAAATAAAATACAATATAATTTCATTCAATAATAGAAAATATTAAATTTTACTTGAATCAATTTACAAAGAATATGTCCAGATAAAACAACATATTGAGTTCGTACAATATTTGAGATTAACTAAATGAATATAATCTTTTGAATAAAAGTAAGTTACAAGAAATTTATTTTTCTACTAACACGAATACTACTCATAAGTTCACGTTCAATCAATGGTGAACCATTAGGAAAAGCATCGAATATATATTGAAGAAAATCTTGTTTCTCTTGTAATGTACACACACGGCATGCTTCTTCTTCTTGAATCAAATTCTAAAAAGAAAATTAAAATAGAAAATTTATCATTTGCAAAGACTTTTTTTCTAAGTTTCAAATATAAAAGAAAAAAAAACCTATGTTAAATTTTGTCAATAATTTGTTTTGTCACATTGAAAAAAAATAGGTTTTAGTTCGAGCAATACATACCTCTAATCCTTGATTAACAAGTATTCCTATTGGTATGGTTTCTGTTTCCAAACAACTTCGAATAAATTCAAGTGTTTTTTCTCTAAATATGAAATATAATTGATTTTATTCTCAATATAACAAATCTACCTTCCATAATGAAGTGTTGTTCCATGTGAAAGATAATCTTATTAAAAATAAAGTAAAAGAAAAAGTTTAAAGAAGAAAAAATCTTTTACCAGATAATTGTTGACAAAATTCTTGAAAACAAAAATAACAAAAAAAGAAGAATTAAGGAGGTTGAACAATAAATTGCACTCACCGCGAAGAAGTAAATTATTAGTCTTTTCAGCTTCATTCTGTACGTTTATTAGCCATTGAGCCATCTATAATAAAAAACAAAGCAATAAAACCGTAAAAATATTATTTTCGCCTTCATGCAGATTGATTCAAATAATCGGCACCAGATTTTTTTTTTCTTAAGAAAACATATGTGCGAAATATTTTCAAAGTATATTTTGCTTTTCAATTTTCAAAAACAACTTTCAAAAAAAACTATTATTACTAAAATTCTTTTTTTTCAATCTTGTTGTCTATTTTATAAACTGTAAAGTTAACTATTGAAAATAAAACCGTGATTGATAATCATCATCGATTAAATGTTATCTATGAATGGTTCCGTTTCCTTCAAATAAAAATTCTGTTATAGATGGCAGTATTTCGAAGAAGAAAGAAGGAATTTGCATGACAACCATGATTTCTATAAATGTTTATATCTTTAGGTCCAAATTGATGGAATAAAATATCTTTTCTTTTTGAATATATTATATCTAACCACAAAATAACAATGCCTGTTATCGTACGTGATATTAATTGGGAAGAAACAGATGCAAATTTAGTTTTACACATTCCAATGAAAGGTGCAAAAGCAAATAAACTAGATGTACTTTCATCGGATCAATATCTTAAAGCAAGTCTATATGATTGTTTTGTTTTTGTCTAATATTTAATCAATTGTTTTTTTTTTCTTTCATAAACTATAGGTTTCATTTCCACCATTTTTCTATGAAGTTTTTCTTTATGATCTTATTGATGACGATAAAAGTAAAATAATAGTACAAAATGGTTTTGTTGAAGTTACATTAACAAAACAAATACCTAGAAAATGGAATCAACTTGCACATGTTCAATCAGGTTTCTTACATTTATGCGTTTCTTTTTTGCTTGTTCACTAAGATTATCTTATCTTATATTTAGATGATAAAGAACTAATGAAAAATCTTCGAGAAGAAGCATTAAATCAAATTGCTCTTAAACAAAAACAACGTATTGAAGCAAATTCATCATTATTAAATACAAATAAACGTGAAGCAGTTCGAGAACAAATGAAGGTTTATTTTTGTTTAATTTTACTAGAAACAAAAATGTTTCTTTTGTTTTTTTTTTTGTTAAATTATAGCTTGATGAAGTTGAACGTAGTCGAATTGATATGATTAAAAAAAATGAACGTGATAAAGCTAGTGAAGAAATGAAACAGTTTGAAGAAAATCAAAAAATTCAACGACAGTTAGCAATCCATAATCATGTAAAATTCAAAAAAAAACGATAGCAACTTTTTGTGTCTTAAATTTCACTTTTCTTCCTCCTATTCAGATTAAATCAAATGAAACTCAATCACATGAAACAATCCAAGAGAACGAAAAGAAAAAACCAATTTTTGAAGAAAATACTTCAACAAATTCATTACCCGGTAAATTATAACTAATCTTTAATAAATATAGGTGTATGAAAAACTGTATGAATTAGTTTAGAATCAAAGGTCAATGCACCACTTAGAGAAACAGGTCGTATTGCTGTCAATTTTACATCACGTGTTTTTCCTACACCACTTCGTGAATCTCAAACAGACATTGAAGAACAGGTATGTAAAATATATCTATCAATGTCAATATATCTATAAGGTCTTTGAAATTTAATATGAAGTTGATTAATTCAATAACGTTAAAATCTAATTTGTTAGAAGCGGAGAGGTAAGCGTGCAACTTCACTCACGAAATCTTTGGAATCAACGGAGCTCAGACAATCCTAAGAACTCGAGAACTTGTTGAAATTTAGATAACAGATCAACCCTGGTGTTTCAACTGAAATTTAGATCATTATACTTTGCTTACTCACAAGTTGTAAACAACTTCAATTGTGCCTTACGTCTAGAAATTCAGAGTACTGGAAAATGCTACTAGAGATAATAAATATACTATACAGGTTTTTCTATGAATATTCAAATATGGGTGCGATGGTATGTGTAGAACAAATCGAAACCTATAGCTATTACTGTCATGTTCTGTCTTTTATTCCAAAGTTCCTTGAAATTAAGAAAATTTTTTTAAAAATTCATCGAGAAATTTCAGCCGCGGCTGCCTGTCAATGCATCAGTTTACACTTTTGATGAGAAGAAGTTATGTTCAATGACAAATGCAACTTCGATAGTTTTGTTGCTTTTATCGAATGTGAATAGCTTCATTAACTGAATGAAGTTACTTTAATAATATGAACCTATCAGCATGAAATCGCTTTCGTATGCTATAATCGAATCTGATTTTAATACAGACTAAATCTGGTATTAGATTATATTTGACATCACAAAATTCTACTTTTGTTTTTAATATAGATATCTTAGAAAATCATTCGAAGTCATGAAGACTTTATCTCAATTGATTAAGTAATTTTTTTTTCTTTGATACAAGCATTCAAGACTAAATTGTTTATCTAAGTTTGACTAATGATGAATAGATTCAATAGAATCTATATTTGTTTCTATTCTTTTGTTTCTTATTTATGTAATAGTGGTTGAGACAACAAATGGAAAGTCGTCAAGCTAGTACAGATCTTCAACTTGATCTATCTGATAATGAAAAAGATATTGATTATCTAAAGTCAAAAGCGAAGTAAATGATTGTTTTGTGAATTCTATTGCTTTAATCTATTTATCTTTTTTAGTCAATTTTTTCAACAAGGTAATTTTCAATCAGCTATTGGCGTTTATAATCATGCTATTCGAGTTTTTCCTAAAATGGCCATGTAAGATTGAATTTATAACTCACTTAATATTTAGTTACTACAAATTGTTTATATTTAAAGATTATATTTGAATCGTGGTGCATGCCATTTTCAAGTACGAAATATGATGAAATGTGTAGAAGATTGTTCTCGAGTAAGTACATTGAAATTTTTATTAATTTTCTTTTATGTAATTTTTTTTTGTTAGGCACTCGAACTACTTGATCCACCTGTACTAGATAATTTGATACAACGTATAAAAGCACATGTTCGTCGTGGTACTGCTTTTTGTGAATTAGAACTTTATGCTGAAGGTATATCGTAGAAATTATTTGATGTTTAACCAAATCATTTTTTTTTCTTTGTAGGACTTCTCGATTATGAAGCGGCTCTGAAATTATCGCCTGATGATGAAAAAATCAAAGAAGATGCTCAACGTATTCGAAACTTTCTTGAAAGGAATCAAGATTTTTCCTAGTCGAATTTGTTTTTGTATAAATGCATGTGATATATTGATCACTGTGTACTAATAAATATCATCATCATTAAATGATTCAGTCAAAGTCTCACTTTATTAGTTCAACTTGAATTTAAAAGTACTCTTGTTGCATATATATTGTTTCCATCGACATCGAATCGACATGAAAATAAAACGTACTGATAGATCTTACATAAATCGTTTTATTTAAATCATACATGAAAATATCTAACTATGAAATGATATCTTAAAACATTTCAAATGTATTCACTTACTTGATCAATATTCACTTTGCTATAATTCATATTAAGATTCTTTAAATATCGATTATTGTTGTATAGCTAAGGAAGAATAACTTTCTGGTTAACAGAAAATTATTTATGTTTGAATTCTGACTTGGAACTGGTACAGAATCAGACGATCTTATGGCTTTTTAAAGTTCTGGAGCAAGTATAGTTTTACTCGTTTTTATCGATGTCCGTTGCTTTCAAGAACTAAAAAGATGAGCTTGAGAAGCTTCAACTAGCAAATTTCTAATCAACACGAAAATCTCAATACTAAGTATTGAGCTTATTAGTTCTCATCGAACGACAAGGATCTCAAATTATGCTGGATGAATCTATTATGGCCACGAAAATTTATTCAGTTGCCAGTAGTTCAATGCAATGTAAAGTAAAGGTTTTTCAATCGGAAATTTTTGAGTTCACTGTTATGGACTCGCTTTAGTCGACTGTGAGAAATTATCAATGACTAGTAGTTTTAAATCATCCTTTCAATACAAAAATATGAGAACAGATTCCGTTCTATTGAGAAAATTGTGTCAATCACTAGTATCATGCAATGCTAAAAATATCTTGGTATTAGAAAACCTGAATATATGCAATTGAGTGTAAAATCGTGCTTTGCAGTACCTTTTATCATCATATAAGAATTAGCCAAGTCCTCAGCATAATAGAAGACCTAAGACCTTCTATTTTTGTTTATCATTCACAGCTTACAAAGAAAGTCTTTTGTCATATTCCTAAAAGAAAGTCGTATGTTACGATAGTCTCGCCGATAATTCTCAGTTTCAATTCAGTTATAATATGCTCGTAAAATAGAAAAGAAACACAAGTAATATCCTTTACAAAAATAAAAACCTCGTTGATGAGAAGAGTGTTCTTAGAACAATACAATTAACATATTCTAAAATGTTAGTAAAATGTGCAAAAACTCTATTTTTTTCCATAACAAGAGCTGTTGCTGGTAATATTTAACCTTCAAATTAAATAGCTAAGTCATTCAAAGAAAGAAGATTCAAGTATTCTTTTTTGTCTTTCTTACGAACAATATCTTTGCATCTTTTCGCAAAAAGAAATGCGTTCTTAAGTTTAGAACAAGTACTTCTAAGAACGCTCATCGACGTGGATGTACTCGATTGCAGATTTTCCTTAATTGTGAAGGAGCTCTTTTCTGATAAAAATGTTTCTGAATTTTTAGAAGAAAGGTTTCAATTAGCTGTTTTTCATGATTTTTTTTTGTCCTGGAACGGATTCATGACTTATGTTGATGAAAGTAAAATATTCTCCATACTGAACTTAGGTAATCATATGAACATAAATACTGAAAACACATTAACAAGCTGCAGAATACCTTTTAAAAAATTGATTGTCACTGAAGTTCTCTAAACTATCTTTTGACTCGTTTATCTAATGGCAATATTGTAATGTGTTGAGGGGTTTATCTTATAACGAAACGAGAAGCCTTCAGTTGTGGTAAGCGATGGTTTCACGTAAGAATTGATCAAACATAATTCTGGTACAGAAATCATATTTTTAGCGAAGAAAGTTAGGTAAAACAAACCATGGATGTTGTTCAACATTAATTATTGTGAATTATTAGATGAAAATTTGTTAGCGTTGTTCCTTTGGTCATATTATTAGCGTATGTGAAACTTGACAGACTAAAGTTAAATTTTTTACTATTAGAAGCTCTAAGATCTACTTGAGTTTCATATTGTATGCCTTCATTAAGCTGTAATAATGATCTTGTCTCGAAGGATCTATAGATATTTGATTTCAAATTCAGGTTGAGAATTTATAGACTAAATTATGATATAATTTTACTGACAGATCATGAAACTGGATTCAGGAAGAAGTTGAAAGAATCATATCTATGTAAAAAATGCGACAAAAGTTTTTCAAATTTATATATTTAACGTGGATGACAACGGATTCATACAGAAAAGTGACAGCTTTAATGTCTATCAAGTACTCTAATAAACAAGTCCAAAATTGCTGTTCTCAATATTTGCGTTGAATACAAGCTTTCCTATATAATTATCTTCTTCTGCATTGAAATCAACATCTTCATATTTTTATTTTTTTTTATCTATCTCATCGTTATTCTTTGCATTCTTCATATGATCTATAGATTTCTTTGACAAAGAATCATTGTTAATAAATTATTTCAGCATCTACGAGCAAGTATACTTCTTCTTTTGATCATCATCTCATCTGATAATCATCATGTTCAACATCATCACTAGTAAACATTCAATTGGTAACTTAATCAACGTTTGTGTCATAATTATGCAAATAGCAAGAATTAATTCAATCACCTTTGACAAACGATAACTATCATGCCTCAGCAAATTTTTAAACAAGAAACCAATAAGAAATATGCCGTCGAAATATAAAAAAATAGAAATAACACCTATATCATGAATGCATAAAATGAGTCATCTAATGTATTTGTTCATAGCTATCGCCGTTGAGAATAGGGCTAAGCGTAATGGCCCGTGGTCTCTATATGATCATAGCCATAATACATAATAAATATCTTTTCTTGCATGCAGAAAACATAAAAGAACAAACAACATCAAAATTGAAAACATCAAAATTTTAAGTTGCGTTTGAGACAAAAGGGTTATAGTTAGGTAAATGATATATTGAACAAATCGATTTTTCTCTAATGCAAATCTGTATTTGAACCTGCCGTCTTTTTGCTAGTTAAGTCAAGAATTTCAACCAACAGATCCGATCAAAAAAGAATCTTATTGATTCCAAATATACTTGAATTTATTTTACAATATGTAAAGCATGTACAAAAAAAGTAAGAATCTAATGAGTAGAACTATCAATGATGATAATGCTTCCAAAATATAGACGTATAAAATTAATTTGTCCCATTGATTATTTTGACAAATAATTGTTAATGAGCATCAGATAATCTGAATTTATATTTCTTTTACTTCTGTTGTTTGTGTGTAATAAGTCCCAAAGTCTTCATTTCGATAATATCAACGTTTAGGTCTTTTACTTTTGCTGATATTTTCTTGATCATTGGTGGATGATATAGTCCCTGTTACATATGAATCCCAAGGTTGAGCTTCATCTTGACTACAAAAATATTTTGTGGAATGTTGTCGCCGCATTTATCGATAATAATGATAAGGAGTGTTGCTTGATGTCTTTTTAGTTTTTAGGTACTCTTTGTCAATTCATATACATATATATATATACATTCTTTCGTTCTCTTTCATTCGATACGTAAGCGTAAAATTAAATGAAAGAAAATGAAAAAAACAGATTAGATGGGCGTCGAAACACGTATGAGTCAACCATTGCAAACTGTTGATGCTAGTTACATGGCCAAAACTCATGATATCGAAATTGACTGACGTTTAAGTTGATTTTGTCATTGAGTTACACGAAAATCAATATGTACAACATAATATTACGATCTTCGTGCGTCAGCAACATGAAATACGTCTCAACTAAAGGACAAACAACGAAAGATTGAGGTTTTGCATCGTCCACACCAGAAAAATATAATGATAAGTCAATACTAATATCAAACACATATTATTATAATCCATATGTCAAATATCCTACCGAAAACAGAACTTAAAACAATAGGGACAAAAAGTTTTACAGTCATGAACATCAATCATCAGAAATTAAATTGCCATGGAAATGTATAAAACAAAAAGCCTACGCTTTAATTACATCAGCATCTTTACCAATCTATGTTTTCTTTTCTTCTTTTTTTTTTAAAGTCAATCAAAAATGGGCGTCATTCATCGTGATATATGATTTTCAAAGAAAAGTTAGTCAAGCACAGAAAACTCGCCAGTATGAAGAGAACTCATCGGATAGCTAGGAACATTGTGATGAAAAAACAATAAAATCAACAAAATGTTTACTTTGTTCGTTCCGAACACTGCGCTTTACTTGAAGGTCTATGTTACAACAATGCTAACTCTAACTATGTTATTATCTACACTACTAGATTATAAAAGATCATAAGATTGCGCTCAAATTCTTATAATAGATTTAGACAACTCATATCATTGCTTTTTTGTTAATATGATTAGAAAACGTTAATCTGGTTGACGTCAATGTAATATCTTATGAATAAACACTTTTCAATACTTATGCAAGAGAACTAGATCAACTTGAAGATTTCAAATATTTCTTTTCTTATACAGTTACATTGATAAAAAAAATGTTTATTTGTTCATTAGTCTTTTTCTTAAACATGATGACAATACTAAAGTATCAAAATATGCACCGCATACATGCAGGCAGTTCTGCCGTACGCATGTGTAGCCCGCACACTAACAGCAAGTGTGACTCATTTTTTGGAGGATGGCTGCTCCGTTTTCGTCCTTTTTCGTAAATGTTTGCTTGGCGACCATGTTTTTTATCACATTAGTTGTTAATGTTACTAGGACATTTTTTAAAAACAGAATGTAGTTACAGCAAACATTAGAAAGTTAGGAGAAAGAGTCTAATAATTAACAGACTTATTTTTTATGAGATAAGATAACGTTCGTTTTTCATCGAATTTGGATACTTATTTATAAAATTTATAAATTTAATTTTTATCAATGTTGATTAAAAATTAATCTGATAGCAAATCACTCTTACTCATGAGGAAACGGTTTCAACTAATCAATGACTTTCTCATTAAAACCTGCTAGACTACAGGTTATCGACTATGTGAGTTTTCAATATGATCATGAGAAATATCCTCAAGTCTTTGTATGCCGATTTTCTAGAAAACTGGTTTTTCAAACTAACAACTATTTCTCTAAAATAGTTTTGAATTCATTCGGATTATAGAGTATATCAAGTTGTCTATAGGTTAATAATATTGTCTGTTTTCTAAAAATGACTGTCAAAAAAAAAACAATATCATGTTGATATGTATCTGTTGTATGATTCACAATGGCTGTATTCTCCGAAGAAACAATGATTTGAAACAGACGCAGTTACCCTTTTATCGACCATACGATGTGATCTAACATGCGGTGCAAAAGTCTTTGCAAAAATGTTCGACTCTATTAGACCATATTGCCAACTTCTAAACCAATCAAATTTTTTTTTGTTGGAAAGAGCAATGTCTGAACTACAAATTTTGTACCAGACATATTTTTCCAAAATGAATCTCAGAAGGAGGAAAAGGCAAAAACCAAATACCTCCAAAAAAGTTCTTGCAACTTCGGTATCGCGCAATATCATTTTCTCTTTTTTGTTATTTTTTTTATATCAGAAGAGAAACGGAAAAATACGTTTAATGTTGATTTTTGTAGCAAAAAGAGTGCTCTTTCCAATGGTATATTGGAAGCTAAATTTACTCTTAGATTTTATACCAAAATATAGGTTTTTCTGAAAGAAACTGCGCAGTTTGATCGTTCCAGCTACCTGACCGTTTTCCATCAATAAAAAATACTTTTTGAATTGTTTTTTTCTGCTTAGTTTTTATAATTTGATGCATTTCGAACAAATAACGCACAAAGAATTGAGTTCATGCATGATTGTTAGGAGTTGTGGCTAATGTGCTTCCAAAGCGATAGTTCTTGCAAAAGACTCCCTTTTACAAAAATTTCAATTTTCAAATGTTTTTGATTAAAGAGTCGAGAATTGATCTAAAAAATTTTACCAAAGCTGATATAAATAGTCCTTTTGATGCGGTATAATATGGCGTATTTTTTGTTAGAATCCGGTCTATGTAGCTCAAAATAATTGAGAAATAAAAACTGTTCAACTTGTAAAAACGTTGCAAAAGCTTTTTTAGAGGTATTTGGTTTTTGCCTTTTTCTCCTTCTGAGATTCATTTTGGAAAAATATGTCTGGTACAAAATTTGTAGTTCAGACATTGCTCTTTCCAACAAAAAAAAATTTGATTGGTTTAGAAGTTGGCAATATGGTCTAATAGAGTCGAACATTTTTGCAAAGACTTTTGCACCGCATGTTATGTCTAGCGAATAAAAACTTAAATTCATGATCTAATTAAGCACAACATGCATGGTTTTTTTTCTCTCTAGTAGTTTAAATTTCTTTTTGTACTTTGTAATAAGTGCACACGAAATACATACGTATTTTTCATCAATCTTTTATTTAACAAACGAATTATTATTTAACATATTTCAACAAATTTTTAATCACGCTGCTATGATATATCAAAGAAAATAAATCAATTGAAGACATTGTCTTTGAGACATTAGTATACACAGCTATATAAATATGTACAAACGCACACACATGCATAAGAAATTATTTATTTATATCAGGTGTTGATGATTGAGTTGGTGGTAATTTTTTTTTATTAGTAGTATTTAAAGGAGTAATTTCAAGATCAATACGACGATGTTTACGTTGTTGACGAAACGATGGTGTTGATACTGGAATTTGTTGAGATTGTTGATCTTGTGGTTTACGTGCACTTGATCGAAGTACCATACGTGTTGCATTTGTTACACTATTACGTGGTGGACTAAGTGATTCAGTTGATGTAGCATCTGCATGTGCTCGTTTATTAGCTGATGAAATAGATTGAGGTTGAGGTTCTTCATTTTCAATATCTGATGTTGCACCTTCATTTTCTGATGCTGATGATGGTGATGAACATGATGAAGTATCAGTATCATTGTCAGCATTTTTAGCAGGAGTTATAGAAAGTTTTGTTGAATTTTTTTCATTACGAAATGTTTGCACTAGTGGATGCGATGGTGGACTACGAGGGGCAGCGGGTGGTGGTATAACAATTGAACTAGTAGAATTTTGTGAAAGAAGTGAGTCTTTTACTACACGTTCTATTTTTGAAAAATACAATGAAAAAAAAAGAAATAACTTAAGTTAAATAGAAATCAAACTTACTCTTTTTACCAAGACCACGAAAAACTGTATCCATGAGTGGTGAGCCAGGTGTTGTTGAAGCTGCATTAGTAATATGTGCTGGAACTGCACTAATTACTGTAGTATTCAATTGAGATGAATCAGTCTAGAACAAAGAATATGTATTTAAACCAATATGAATTTTAATTAAATTTACAAGTGTCGATTCATTGAGTGTTGTATCATTATCATCATCGAAACCACGTAATAATTCAATACGACTTGACAGTTTTTTAATAAATAATTTTAAATTTGATTTTCTTTTACTGACCGTTAAATACTATAAAATAGAATATGTTTAGTTATATATGATTGTTAATTAAAACATACTTTATTGACTTTCTTTGATTTACGTCTTAAACCTTTAATAATTGTCCAATCATCTGTCGTTATATCAATTAAATTTAATGTTGTTATTAATGAACGAATAAGATCATCGTTAGTCGATGATTTTAATTGAGTAAGTATTGTATGGGCAACATAAAAATGATATTTTAATCGAGCCTTTAAAAATCAATACAAATATCAATGATTATTTTTATCAGTTTTGATAGGAAAACAAAATTTACTTCATGTTTTTGTTTTTCAACAGTTTCTTTATCAAGTGTTTGTTTATTTACTGATACCATTGAATTATTTAAATGAGCATGAATTGTTAAATCAAGATCAGTTGTTGGATCAGGTAAATCAACATTTGTTGCATCACCTGAAGATTGTGGTGCAGTTTGCATAAGATGATCAATAACTGCTCGTTCTCGAATTTGATGTAATTGAAGAAAAAGTTTTATAGCATCAGCAACAAATGTTGGTTCTTGTTTAGTTGAATCATTTCTTAAAAGGCCATCAATAGATGGTTGTAAAGAATTAAATAAATATTTATCGGTTTGCCTTTGAATAAAAATAGAAACATTTAAAAAAGAAAACTATTAGCGCAATCTCTGTAGAATTAAAATGTAAGACATGAAGTAGCTGCTGTTACTACTCCTAGGGAGATTGTTTTATGCTATCTATTGTGGGGAGCATTTATTCACCATCACTTTACTTAATTCTTCAGAGATGCAATAAGGAAGTAGTTCTTGTATTATAGCGAGACTTGATTGATATATGGTCTTTTGTTCGTATATCAAGAACATCTTTTAGTCTGTCATAAAGAAGGAGCATGTTGCTAAGATGTCCATCCAGATCTGTGATAATCTCTGAGTAGCATCTGTCACGGCCTGTGGCCGTACAAATATCTATCTTAAATATTTTCACGCTTCTTTAAGGTCGTGCTGCACAAAAAGAAATTTCTATTACCAAAATTTATCAGCATATGCTGGAAAGAATGTTGTCAGAAGACCGCCAACACGAATATCTGTCGATCCATCGTACCAAGCAACAATTAATTTAGCAAATGCTTCACTACTATTTGCTTGACCAACAAAGAATAATTTAATCATATTAGTTAAAGCTGTTTGACGAATATTCACAATCTAAAATAAACAAGAATAAATTATATAAGTTTTTATGATATTATAACTCAACTCACTGGGTCATCAATCTTTTGAGTAATGAGATTAAATCCTTGTTCAATAGCTTGTATCACTTGTCGACTATTATGTGTATTTTTTATCATATTTAACGCATTATGCCGAATAAACATATCGCCTAATGCATTCAAACCTTCAATAACTGCTACCGATACATCATTTTCTATTACCTAAATGAATTAATACGTTAAATAATTCAAAACCATTTTTCTGTTTACAAAAAAAAAAACTTACTTTATTCATAAGTTCAAGATTTTCTTTCATAAGTTGTTCATCATAGACTCCAAGTAAACCTAATGTACGAATAACATAGCGACGAACTGCTAAATCATATGATGCAAGGCTTGACGCAGCCTAAATTTACAAATAAAATCAAATATATAAACACAAAATATTTATTTCTCTTACTAAATCTTGTGCATAAGTTACGAATGATGAAGGTAATATTTTATTAGGCATTGTTGTTGATAGAAGTTCACAAAGAATTGTTAAACGTTTAACTAGCATAAAATCACGACCAGTCTATTTACACAAAAAAAAAATGGAAAACCATTTAAATTTCACAACAGCAAAATGTAAAAGAATTAAATACAGTTGAACGATCACCAGTAGAACTGATTGCACTGATTTGTGATTGTGATTGAGTTGATATAATTGTATGATCATAATGTGAAAGACGATCTTTAACTTCACTAAGATCTTTTTCAAGTCGAACACGTTCATCAATATTTTGTGATGCTATATCATGATCACGAATTCGATGTAATGAGTCTTGTAAAGCTGATTGACGTTCACGTAAAGCGATAACCTTGAAAAAAATCATAGAAAATTAGTTTTTTCTTCTAATTAACTTACTTCATGTTCACTCTTTCGATCTGCTAAAATATGTTCTGTACGTCGATTTACACGTTTTTCAAGATCAGCTAATATTTCAATAGTTTTTCGTTGTCGATGTTCAAATTTTGGTTCAATTTTTTTCATAATATTCATTATCATTTTATATGTTGTTGCTTCAATTTCTTCCATAAAAAACATATCACGACATAATGTTTCAACACGATATCTTCCAGCAAGATCATCAAATTTACAATGAACCATAACATGTAAAACACAATCAACAACAAAATTTATTTCTGCAACTACTGAAGCCATTGATGAATCATCATGATATGAATGAATTAGTCTTAATATGAAAGACATTGAATACAAAAACAATGAAGAGAAAAAATAAAATCATTTACTCATAAAGTACATCGACAAGATCGACAAGTTCCGGTAGAATAGCATCAAGTTTTTCATTATATTCATTATTTCGACTGAGATATTCGACAAGATGTTGCCAAAAAAATGCCGATTCACAATCGAGCTGTTCAACACCAATTAATCTTCTTCAATTTCGAATTAAAGCAAAAAGAAAAAATAAAATCAGACAAAAAAACAAAGGTGACAGTATTTTTGATCATCAACTTGTTTCAGCATTCATTTAACATTATTATTATTAATGAAGTGTAGATCCTGCACCAGGCCGACGAAAACATCATCCTCACTCTTCAGTGCTCCTCACTGTCAATAAGACCAATTAGTTTAGGATATTGTTAGTCTGGATTAAAATCAAAATATAATGTACAAAGCGAAAACAATATAATACATTACAATAATAACCTCGGAAACAATAGTTTTTGTACTTCTTTATGTCACCAACACCATTTGATGTGCTCTGCCACATACGGCGGAACGCACCTAACTGATCCACGCTGATGGCAATTACTTTGAAGGTTATAACCATTTTATTGATATTTTTACCTATCACAAGCTGGGCTCCGATTCATCCTATAATTCCTATTTTTTTGAAAAATCCCATATTTTGTCCTATAATTCGATTGATTTTCCTATATTTTGTCAAAAAAGTGGAAAAATTTTACGAGACTTGACTTTTTCCTGATGGGGAGTACAGGGATCTTCGCGGCGGTACCCCCCCCCCTGGGTCGTCAGTTTTTACGAGAAAACCGGGCCATGTGAATAGCTATTTCTGGCAAGTAAAGCACATACATTTGAGGTGCGGTTCGACGTACAATACCTAAATTGTGGTCAATTTTTTACTTTTTTTTAGTGAAAACAATCGCGTAATTCAGAAAACGAAATCCTATATAGGAATTCCTATAATTTCGAAAATATTTAATTGGAAGCCAGTTTATAACAGCTTCATTAAAACGATATTCGAGCAGAGAAGTTAAAAAATGCCAAAACAAATGAACAGAAACGATCTATAAAAAATCCTATATTTTTGTCATTTTTTATCGAAAATCCTATATTTTAGACGAACTTGATCCTCTAAGGATTCCTATATTTTAAAAAAATCGCAATCGGAGGCCAGATCACAAGGTATATACAGAGAAACTGAGTAACAGAATTTCAATACAAAATTTTGATCGCATAAAGTTTTCATGATCATTGGTCTGCTCTTAATGTTACAGTGTAAAAAAAAAACATTTTCTTTTAGACACAACGTTGCTGAAAAACTTCTCTCATAATTTATAGAGATCAGAGATTGACTTTTTTTTTTGAACAATTCAATAACACGACAAGAAAACATTTTTTTTTCCCATTGAAATATTTATAATGTACCAATGGCTACTGGAACTACATATGAACAAGATTTCGGATTAAAATTCGGTTATTCGATTTTTCTTTAGATACCTTGTGCTACGTAGAAATGATCAGCAAAATAGTCATAACTGTCGAAGAAAGTTTCATCAGCACAAACTCTGTTAGAATTTTTCTTAGAATAACGTTCTCTGCATACAGACAAATGATCATTGAAATCAATATGGATCAGTTGGGAATGATTCCTTGTTAGTAGAGTTCGGCGGTTATAAAACAACTGGAACCGTAACTATCGAAAAACACATTGGAATCGTTAAATCACCATATAGATACAAAAATTATTAAAATTGTACGGAAATCTTCATTTGTTTATTCTTGATATGAAGAATTACAATATATATTTATAATACTGTTGCGTTTTAGCATGGAAATATTTGACGTCTTCAATCTCTACCATTCATTAGTGAAAGTTTCTCAAAATAGATTTAACAGTTTTGATTCCACGTAATATTTTGGAACTGTATCGAAATTACCGAACTCTGTCAGTTAAACCAATTAGAATATAGAATGTCCTCAAGTAGGAGAATATTTTTAAATCCTGAAAACAAACTGATGAATGAGGATGAGAAGCCGTGTGGCTCGTATAGAAGCATTCAAGAAGACATAATAAAAAATTATCGTTCGAAAAATTGATGATCAAAAACACTTACACTCGAGAACAAAGCAATATTGACTTTAGTTCTTTTCTCTTACTTGTCGTTAATAAATGTTTCTTTAAAATGATCATAGTGCTTCATTAAATTATCATCAAAAAGCATTTTTAATATTCTTCCTGTTTGTTCACCAATATTCGTTACATCGATCATTTTAAGAAAACCAGTTATTGTTTTATGTGCATCTGGTTGACGTGTTAAATCAGTTCCCGGTGGTACTGGTAATTTATCAATCCATGTATGAACAACACATTCAACAAATGCACGAACAACGGGTTCTTCAGGATCATCCATACCCATACGTACAATAGAACAACGTTCCTTTGTTGGTAAAACTTTTAATGTTTGAACTTTTTGTGCAAATACATTATATGCACATAGACGAACTGTCGCATTTGTATCGGTAAGACGTCGTAAAAAATGTGGTAAATTTGAACGTGTTATAGCTATTGATCGAAGCGATTCTTTTCGAACAAGTGGATGAGAATCATGATCCATTAACCAAATAAGACCTTTAAAAATTTGAAAAGAATTATTTATTGCATGTTTTTCTTTGTGTTTTTATTATTTAAAAAAAAAAAGTAAATACGTTTTGTAATAAGATCATCAGGATCTTTTGTATTTTGTAATCGACCACTAGCTTTAGCTGCTTGAGCGCGTACTTGATAACTTCGATCATTCATTCGATCGAGACAAATATTAACAAGTAATTCAAATAAATCTCCATCTAATTCAGCATTTTCAGCCATTTTTTCTAATGTTTGTCCAATAAGAACACATATATTTGCACGAACATAATCACTCGGATGATTTTTATACTAATTGATAATAAAAAAAAAGAAAGAAAAGTGAATAAAAGAAAATATATTTAAATACTTCATCAAAAAATTGTATAACTCGTGGTAAAATTGGATGAAAAAGATCCGATTGCATACTATCATTATTTTGAGAATCATTATTATTTGTTGATGAACCTATTTCTAAGGTAAGAAAAGATGAAATGAATTGAAGTGCATGTCCAACAAAAGTTGAATTTGACGGGGAAGTTATTATTGAAGCAATACAACGGAGAAATTCGTCATGAAATGATTGTTGATTGCACTAAAAAACAAGGAACAACAACAAAAGAAAATGATCAAACGAACAAAGAAGAATATCTTTTTCAATAAAAAAACCTTAGAGTAAAGATCAGCAAGTGCTTTGAGATGTTCACCATGTCGAATGTTACTATTTTGTGCTTGATCAAGAACAGTTCGAATTGTTTTCTCCATTTGCACTATTCACAATGTAGTAATAGCAAATTTGAAGAAAGAACAAATGCGTTGATGAACGATCGAATTCAATTCGTACTACAAACAAAGACTACATGACACATCTTCTCTATACAACAAAAATATAGATGACGCTTTTTTATTGTAACTGAAAAAAAAAATACAACAGGAGAATGGTCAACTATATAAAAAAAATGATTAGAAATAAGTTCATTAGTCTTTATCATTTATTTAGCTATTCATGTTTGCAAAAATTCTACCAGGCTACTTTTTGTATTACTTATTTTTCTGTAATGATTTTAACGATATCAAACATATTCATATCCTATATTTTGAATGATACAAATAGCTATTACAATCCTTTGTTAAACAAACTGAAGAAGAAAGAAAAACATATCTTGTATTTTTAACATCGTGGTAGATCATGTAGAGAAAGAGCGATTTGAAACAAAATTACCAGATGCAGTCAGGGCATGTTGTAATGTGACATTTATACTGCTTCTAATATAGATTTATACAAAACATAATTTGATTATCAACTGTGTTTATTTTTTGATTGACATACACATGATAGATTAAATCATCTTCATTTTGTAAGTTTATAGCACAAGAAATATTATCATCAAAAGGTACTTTAAATTAAGTGAAAATTGAATTTCAATATCTTACGAAGGAATTTCTTCAGTTGATATCCTTTGTTTCTAGTCATAGTTTGCTTAAAGATAGGACTTACAGTTTAGACAGAAATCCTAAAAGGATTCGTATCTTTAAGTCTTTTTTTTCGAGTTATAGTCATTTCACTGAATTTTCAGCTTATTACATGATACTAAGCCAAAAACTCAACAGTGACTTTCGACCTGAAATTGTACTAAATAAAAGATATCATGGTATTCATCATATTGTATTTTAAGAAAAAATTATCCAAATGAACTGAAACTTTCAAAATATAATAAGTACCAGGAGTTCTGTTATGGGATAAAATTTCAAACAGAAACTTCTCATTGCAGTTTATTCCGTAATATCCTGCAATATATGAAAAATTTAGTAAAATAATCATAAATCAAAAAGAAAAGATTAAAAGCACGAAGCCTTTTAAGTTTGTTATCTAGATCATGAGCCTCATTTATGAGCAGAATATGAGTTTAAACCGATGGTATCAGTTTAAAAGATTTCTTTGTTAGTCACATAATAATCTATCCGTCTTTTTCGCATATAATTACTCTTAAGCTTTTACAGTTCGTGGATATTTTCAATGACGCAAGGAGGAATGAAAAAAGTCACTAGTTGAAATTTCGCATTTTTTATTTTCATGTTAAGCATTATTTAACAAGTCATTCTCCGAAATAAAATAATGGTGTTTACTTTTTTTAAATAAAGGGAACAGTACGATGAAATGATAAATTTGTCGAACAAAAACGAAAATGACATGTAATCTATGCTATCATAGTTTTACTGATTTTTTAAAAATAAAATCAATACAAATGTCAAACGATTCATTATGCTGTTTACAACATTGTACAATTTAATTGAGTATTATTTTAAAACAGCATTTGTACTTCTAAATAAAATATAAAAGATATGTTACTTTAAATTTCTATCAGAAGCATTTAATGTATGCAAAATCTTATTGGTATAAAAAAAAGAACAATGAGCTGAAGAAATAATAAGAGACAGTTGAACAGTATACTCATCATACGTATTTCTTTTAAAAACGAAACATCGTATTTGTATCTCGAATAGAAGGAATGTTCTTTACTTTAGTTTTGATCTTTTTAATTTCTAGTGACTTTTGTTTCTTGTTTTCTAACTGAACCTATCGAGACATTAAAGTCGTCTTGAAATATAAGCTTTGTCATACATGATTATTTTACACGATGTTGTATAGTACGCACAACCAGAGTTTACATTCATTATCAAAATTAAAAGCATCATATGTAATATTACGTTCAACTTATGCTTTTACCATGAATAGACGTTTTTTCCATTGTAATGCACTACTTTCATAACTAAAACATGTCAATATTCAACTCTGCATCCGAAAAATTGACTTCTGTAACTAAAACATACATCATTGTCAAGTATGTGTCAGTTTTCAATTGACTAATCTTTATGATGGAAATAAGACAGAATACGAAAAATACTTGGAAAAAATACATTCTTGTGTTAGGCCAACCACTTAAAAAATAAACATACGACACTATTTCGATGATGAAGGCATTGAACACTTTGTATGACTTTTAAAAACTCTAATTTATTTTTATTCGAAAAATAATATCAATCCTAATTTTAATTTCAAAGTTACAATAAATGAATTGTTTTCGTGTGATACATATGACTTGATCATGTAGAAAACCTGTTGTTTGATAACTGATTGTATAATAGACAAAGGGAAATCAATGAAGAATTTTCTCTTATGGTGCCATTAAGATTCGTAAATGTACATGTCTTCACTGCTATTCTATAGAGATTCATGCTGTACTTTTGTGTTATCTATGATCGTGTTGCATCCATGCGGATGATGACCAAACCATGATTTCTTGCTACGCTTAACTCAGTCGATCCATTTTTCTAGAGCTTTATTTGACATGTTACTAAAATGTTGTCATCAATTCACATATAGTGTAAATGTTGGAATAAAATCAAAGAAGCTCTAGTGAATGACTTTTTAAAGCAAGAGAGAGGGACAGACAACTCGAAGAAAAACAACTGTGTCAGTAAAAAAAGCAGAAGCGAAATTGAAATTCTAAGAAAAAATTCAATGCGACACTTCGATAGTCACTGATAAAGATCAGCTATTCAGAAGAAATAAACAAAAATGATCGAATAGAAACAATAAAAGACAGATTTGCTCATTAAATTTGCACAACAAAAGCCGACTGTTTTATTTCTCTTTACGAGCCCGGACCTGCAAGATCAGAGCCACCCACCTATCTGCGAGACGAGATCGAACTATAAAAAAATGGTAGGACAAAGCAAATTGAGGCACAAGATGAAAAGCTATGAGATTTGACGAGTCGTACGATGAAAAATTTGTCTTATTTAATGTCATTCGCTTCGAACTCACCATGGAGAGAAAAGTGATGCTTTTCATGATGGAAAGAATAAGAATGAGTGTCAGCGAGTGAGTTGGTGTCGGTAGATGAATGGGCAGATAGTTGTGTCTGTGTTTGAATTCTTCAGTGATACGCAACTACAACACCGATCAGTAACGCAACCGCACTTGCACACTGACGCACATTCATAGCTACAGAGGCGGCGGAACGACTCTAATTTAGGGGAGGCTCAAAACTTTTCAGGGAGTAATGGGAGGGTGAGAGGAACGAGGAGGGGCGATTTTATCCCTTTTCAACTCTAACTCGTATTAAAGATATATTAGTTGTCCTGATATGTTTTCAACAGGGTTTATTTCGCATATCTTTTTTGTATAGGCAAACCATGTAATCTTGAAATTTCATCAAAAGATTCGCCGTTATATTTGCGAATCTTCCATGATTTATCTTTTTTTGGTATTTACTAGATTCATTCAGCAAACGGAATTCCTCTGTTTGATAGCACAGGATACAATTCAATCATGTTTAAAAAAGTATATGATCTGAAAGAGTGACGTTTCACCTTCAACCAAGCACCTGCTTTTGCTTCAATTTCTTGCATTTGACAATGAAATGAGTACGAGGACTTAAAGAAAAATTTCGAAAGAATGATTCGTAGAAGTCGCTGGATTCTTTAAGACAACTGCATCACAAGGACCTGTTGAGTTGTTCTGAAAAGTTTTTAGAAAAGCGAAAGAAAGGATGTATGAAGTATTGTTACTGTCCATTAAATTGGAAGTAATTAATACATCTCTAATGTATCTATTTCTTATTAGTCTCTGCACAAAAATTCTGGAAACTTGAATGTTTTTTAAAGAAACAAAATGTCCTCTAGGCTAGCTTAATCGATTTAGAGCACGATTAAATCAACGACTTACAAGATGCTACAATTTTTCACTCTTCTGAGTCGACTTTGCTCCTCTATTTTACCGATGAAGCGCCTAATTGTTCACTTTTGATTCTTTAACGGCGAATTTTGAACAGGAAACAAATTACTTTGGTAGTATCATTTTACTCAGTAATGCTTTTTTATATACAAAGGTTGACTTTAATAATTATTTAAACCATTTCTGGAGCGTTTATTCTACTGCTATGTTGAAAAATTCCAGTGTCTCGTACATCGTTAGTTTTTCTCTCTCTAAATCGATTACAGTATGCCGAGAGAACATTTTTCTCTGGATATTGTCGAGAGTTTAATGGTACACCTTTAAAAGCGATTCAAGTTTTTATCAATTTTCCCTGAAAAGATAAATGAAAAACAGATATTATTTCAAATATGTTTGTTAACTCCAATGCAATCTGAAGTAGAAACATTTTATACACCTTTCCTTTCCGAGTTCTAAAATTCATCAGAGCAAATCAACAGGATTTTTTGGATCGCTTTGTTAGAAACCACCAAAACACATTTAAAAAAATTCAAGATTTTATCATTTGTTTATGCAAAGATATATACAAAATAAATTATATTTATAATATCTTTGGGATATTCAATATAAACTCAGAATGATATTCGTAAAAGTTTCTCAAACGTTGAGTCTCCTCAAGCATTCTGCTTCATTTTTTATGGGCGGCTTGAGCCTATCGGATACTAATCGCTCGGCTGTCTATGGCACTATCCAGCATCTAGCTAAACGTAATCTCGTTCAAAGAGTTTTCACTTACTAAATATAAGGTCAGAACGAGATTTGTAAAGTCTTTACAAATATTTGAGCCTCCCCAAGCCTTCCTTCCCTTTTTTAAGGGTAAGCTCAAGTCTTCCCAAGCCTAATGGCTCCGCCGCTTCTGACTTTACTCAATAATAAGTCATATTTTTCCATGAACCTTCCTCAAATTATAAGATTATTGTTTCTTTCTCATTTCAAAATCTTTCAAAAGTCAAGCAGACAAGATAACAAAACTTTTAATGATAAATACAAAAATACAACGGCACCATAAACGTGTTCAGTACGTTGGCTATTCCTCTGCATAAAAGAGTCACTAGTAATAAGGTGTTAAACTGTTTAAAAAAAATACAATCATATATGCCTGCGATCTAAAATCAAAATGAATATTACCTTCAGAGAAAAATCAAACATCACTTTTTTCAAACCGCGTTCTCTAATCAAATACGAGATCGCGATGAGATCTGTAAACTTTTTTCAAATATCTGAGCCTCCCAAAGTCTCTCCAATTTTGTTTTAGGGGAGGCTTGAGCCTCCCCAGGCCTAAGGGCTCCGCCGCCTATGTTATGGATGTTAGATCTATAGAATCCTAGGTGGGTCCCGTTGTTTGCAAGTTAACTCATGAGTTCCTATAAGTTGAGGAAGTCAATCAGAACAGTGGCTCTCTTCTCCCAAAACGAGTTAAACTAATAAAAAATATTTTTTTATCTACTAAAACTATCGTTTATCATTTGCAATCAATACATAGTATCATCAAGTAATGGATGTATGGCATTCTACGTTTGATTCGTTACATGCTTATGACCTTTGAATATATTGGGTTGTAACATAAGTTCTGCAGATTTTTTTGTCAACCAACAAAATTTCACTGTCTTTTTCGAATCATAACCGACTAGTTTCTGCAAATGTCTGATTGAACAATTGCTAGTAAGATGAACCCAAGTTTCGAAAATAATGGCGATTGTATTGTTGATTGATGTTGCATATCTTTGTCGTAAAATAAATTTGTTCATCAACAACAAAACCTGCAGAACTTATGTTACAACACAATATATATGAATAACATTCAGAATGTACGATCAATTGATTTTAATTGATCATTGTCTTTTTAATTAACATGGTACTTGAGAAATTAATTGCAAATATTTCTTCTAGATGATCGCCTACAATAACAATAAAGCGAGCAGCAAGAAAGCAATTGAATACTATAAATTTATATCCTAATCTTCCCCTAAGATATATGTAGTTACTGATATGTCAACAGATTATATACAATTTTTAAATCTATCATTTAATATTGTACATTCTAAAAGATACCAGAATATCATTCTTCTTGATCTCGTTGTCTTCATTTCTAGTGTTCGTCATACTTTAAATCATGTTGTATAAAATCATCAAAAGTATCATAATAATAACAATATCAGACTTAAACAAAATAAAATAAATAACAATCAATCAACATGCAAAAAAAAAGATTCTATTTTGTCATCAATGGTAGTGTGATCGACATTTGTTCATAACCATGGAATATATCACTTGAAAACAACGGATTTGACACTTCAAGGTCATCCATCTAGAAACAAAATGTACATCATTATGAAGAAAGTACAAATGTTTTCATGTGATAAAAAGAAACTTACAGAAGCAAAACCAGTACATTCATAGACAGAATGAGGAGAATGAGACTGTAAATGCTCGAGTGTGTAACCTGAATCATTACTTTTTAAGGCGGTTGTTTCAACTTTTAAATCATCCAAAGTCATTCTATTAATGAAGAAAAATAGAAAAGAGGTAAATTTCAAAACGCATCTAATGAAAATAATTTTAAAGCAAAATTCAATTATTCTTATGTATGTATAGATGCAATTCTGATAGATAAACACCAATTCATATTTTACTTATTGTTGAAACAATTCTATTAACGAGTATGATAATGCAAACACTCACTTTTGTCGCTCTATCAATTCATTACGTTGTTGTTCATAATATTCAATGAGTGTATTCTGTAATAATAATTCTTCATTTATTGACGTTGATAACAGTTCAGTTTTTTTATACTCATCATTGTTTGATTTTTCCTGATCAATTCTATAACGGATGTTTCTATTTTTATAATCAAAAATGAGAAAAACTTATACATATATACCTTTTACAAAATATCCACACAACTATTAAACCAATGCTCAAAATGACACATATGGCGATTTCAATAGCTAAAGAAACATTGACAATGAATAAACGTTTTTCACTATGATTTTCACAAACTTTACCAATGATAAACATTGGTCAAACTTAAATCGTGCATTCGGCTAGAAACAAAAAATGAGCCAATATAAATGTTGCCTGTTTATATGCAGATCTTTTTATTAATTGCTTCTTTTAATTCAAAACAAAATATAAAAATCGACAAATATTCTTAGTTCAGAAAAGACAATCTATCAGACTAATTCTGAGTTTCATAAAATTAAACTAAAATAAAGGATTGAATATTGCATGGAATCTTCTTCTATATTGAATCAGTGTGAAAGATAGATGTTAATTGTTTGCGCATTTCAGATGATAAATCTGGATGCCAAAAATCAATCGTTAGAAAAACTTGTTGCTCTTTATTTGGATTTTGAATGGAATGTTCAATTGCATGATTATATAAAGTAATACGTTTATTTTCAATCGATAAATGTTTTCGTTTATTAATAAGAACATATGCTGGTGATTGATCATCACATATCAAACCGAAATGCATTCGAATACAACAATTTGTTAAACCATTTCTATTTTTATCTTCATCATTATTCTTTGATGTTAATCGTGTAAGATAACAATTACCAAAAAGACAACTTCGATTATTAATACAGATAGCATCGGGTAATAAATGTAAAATTTCAAATAATTTTGGAAATGTTTTACAATTAGTTTTATTTTCTTCACCATCTTTATATAAATAAAAATTTATCCATTGAATATTATCATTTTGTTGAAAATATTTAACAATTTCTTGACGAAGTTCATCGTAATGATCAATCAGTATTTGTTGATCGGTTAATTGAATAATGTTACTACTTAAACCACGATGAAAATAAACAGTCGGTTTTTCATCATTTTTACGACATAAACGATCATGTTGAAGTAAATTATTAAGTATTATTGAATTTAATGAATCTTCTTCATCTTTATCATTTTTAATATAATTTATTGCACGACCACGAATTGTGTTTGAACCCACACATTTCGAACAAAATGGATTAGCACAATGATTTGAACGAATAACGTAATTTAGAAGTGTACGATATACACATATGACACCAAAAATGACGAAAAAACGAAAAAACCATACTTGATCACCAAACATTTCAAATGTAGCACGTAACGAATCAAACATTTTGATGTTGCTATTTTTTTTTATGTCTGAAATAAAAAGAGAATATATTTTTTTAAAAATGCAATCATTTTATTGTGGTGCGCGCATGTTTATTTTGTCTTACACAATCTATTTGCGGTTTTTGAACAAAATGAAACAAGAAGAGAAAAAAAAGAAAATGAACAGATTCAGTAGTGACTGCTGAATTTTAGTCAACCAAACCGCATAGATATAAACAAATACACAAATCGTTAACTTCCATGCAATCATATATCATCTTTCAATGTTTCACAATATGAAAAGAGAAATGAAAAAAAAAAGAGAAAAAATTCAGTTTTTTTTGTAAGTATTATAATAAATAGAAAGTCTTTTGTTTATTGGATTTCTTTTGTTTCCTGTTGATGATAAATTTGTACACGAATAAATAAAAAGCTAAGATTTTATTTGTCACCATCTAAATAACGTTTTGTATTCGGCATACGATTTTGTACTTCAGGATAATCACGATCTTGTCTTATACGTTGTTCTAATAAACGTTTAAGTTCTTGTTCAAATGTATTAACAAGTGTTGGTGAAGGTGCTTCACCAGTAAGAACACTTTCGGGTGTTATTATTGTTCCATTTGAAATTTGATTATTTGATGAACTTGCTGATGAAGCACGTAAAACAAGTGTTTGTAGTAAATTAGATGAAGTTAAATCTTCACGCATATGAACACGACGTCGTTTTGATGGCATACCTTCTTTATATGCATCACTATATGGTGGTTGTGCTGGTGCATCATGTTGAGTATTCACATCTCGAACCACAATTGGAATCCAATCCTAAATTTAAAAAACAAAAAAAAAACAATAGATATCACATTTTTTTTATATTAATAAATACAAACATCAGGTAAATTTGCTTTCCATGATGGACTAGATGTTGAAGTTGTTGTTGCTGTTGCTGCTACTGTTTCACGTTCATGATCAGTTTTATTAACTATACTACTCAATTGTGTTGTTGACGAAGGTGTAGCATGTCCATGACGTTCATTAATTGGTGTAGGTTCTAATAAATAACTTGATACATTGGGTGGTGATGAACGTATTGCATTAAATGCATTTGCTAAAGATGTACGAAGATAAGTTTCAGACCATGTTACAATCATTGAATTTGATGAACGAAAAATGATACGCTAAAATAGAAGAAAATTTTTTTTGTATGTATATTATTTCAATTTAGAGTATATATTTTACATGTCGATTAAGAATAAAATCTATTGCAGCTGCTTCTCCACCTTCAAGACATTGTGATGATAATGTTAAATATTCATTACGCATGGAAATTAATTGTTGTCGAAAACGTTCAAACCAAACATTATTTGCTAAGAAAGAAAAAAGAATAACAAAACCATAAGAGTCTTTAGTTGTTTCATAAAAATATTCAACATACGATCATCAAATAAAATATGTAATAATTTACGAACATGATGACGAAAGAAACGTTTCATCACATTTGCTATATTAATATTTGGTTTAACTCGAAGTTCATTCTAGAAATAAATATTTTATTTAACAGATGGCTGATAATAAAGAATAAAACACTTCGATTTGATAATTATTATTTTTTTGAGGACATCATTCTAAGTTCATTCGAGAGAGATTTTTTTGCTCCACAAAACTATCGACTTTGTTTTTCAAATAAGTTTCACCTATTTCAGAAAAACCGATAAGATTGGCAGTCGCTCAAGCAGTGCACTGCAATTATCAGAAAACAAAATAATTATTACAAACATGTTTAATTAACAACTCCGTCGAAATTCAAAATATGCCGCATCTCGGGATGTTATGTATTTTCAGAAAAAAAAACACTTGACAGAACAATTTCTTAAGAAAAAATTAGAAAATAACGCAAAAGACTCAAATGTTATACCATTTTGTTCTGAATGAAAATCGGTATTCAATGATACAATGATAAACCATTCATAGAGCACACTAACATTTGAACACATCAGTTTCAAAAACGTATGTAAAACAAAATACTATCAAGTGTTAGTTCCAACCTTTGTGCGCCTCAGAGATATCATCAGAAGTATTGACAAAATCTCGGAAACGTAAAATTCTCTATCTATTAATGCTAAATACTTTACATTCAGCATCGAATTTGATGAGCATAGGTTTTCACAAATCGTTAGATCTCTACAGAAAATAGCAAGAGATCACAATCAAGCAACAACGCAGATTTTAATCTTTCCAACTTTTTGTCGGCAAGAAAAACTAAGTTAGAAAAAAACAGTTTCACAGTTTTGTACCGAGAAAATTTCTTTATTGAATGAGCTTCGAATGTTGCAAGTTAAACTGTCCTATTATTTATGAACCACGCATTATTATAGACATATAATTTTAAGAGAAAAAAAAATACGTACAAAATTGACAGCAGCTTCTTGTAAAAGTGATTCATAAAGTTTATCAGCCAATTCTTCAAGTGCTTCTGGTGTTATAGGTCGTCCTTGAAGTATAGTATTCCTATTTTAATAATAAATAAATTCAATTAAATAACAATATAATTATATTACTGTAAATATTCAGTTGCTGATTGACGTGCTTCATTAATACGTGGTCCCACTGGATTACCCAAAACAAGATTCCAAACATCAGTAAAATGCATACGTGATGTCATTGTAGAAAATAATTCACTGATAAGATTAGTACCTAGATGAAAAAAAAGAAATTTCTTTTAGTTTTATAATGTATCCCTTTGATTAAAGAATTTTACCATCATTCGAACGAGCATCGATATCTTCACCAAAACGTTGCATAAATGAACCAATTGTAAGACTATCTAATTCTGGATTATCAAGACCACCACCCAATAAACGTAAAAGTTCTAGAAAATAATAAGATGAACGTAAAGATTAGTTTTGTTTTAAAAAACAAAAGAACTTTATTATACCTGTGAGCATTTGTTCAGTAACAGTATCATTTTCATTATTATTTGTTATTGTATTTGTCGACGTATTACTATTCTGTGATGAAGAAGTTGTATTTGTTGTTGCTGTTGTTGCTGTTGATGATGAAGATGATGATGATGATGATGACGATGATGATGATATCGTTGGAGTAGGTGTTGAAAGATTAGAACTAATTAATGTTGCTCCAGGAATTAGTCGTCCAGTTATTCCTTGTACCATACTACCAAGTGATCGAGCAATATTTGAGAAATCTAAATTACCAGCTACTACTCCCGGAATATTAGTTGCCGTTGGTATTGTTTGTTGAGTTGTATTTGTTCCACTGGCTTGAGATTGTAAATTTGGAGTATTATTATTACCGGGATTATTTTGACCAATATTTACTAAAATTAAACAAAATAATTCATAAATAATTGAAAATATTATTTTACATACATCGAACTCGTCCATTCCCAGTTCGTAAGACACCAGGTAATATTTGTGAAAGTACCTGACTTATAATGGTATTCTAAATAAAAAGAAAAATTAATAAAAGCAAAGAAACAACATATTTTAAATTTTATTTTACCATTTGAATTTGTTGTCCATCATTAATTGATGATTGTTGTTGTTGTTGTTGTTGTTGTTGAGAATTATCATTAGATGTTTGTTGTTGTGGTATTTCCGTTGTTGTTGTCGTTGAAATAACCATTGGAATTTCAAATGAATGTGCTGTCATATTATAAGCATGACCAGCAGGTGTAAGAACAGTTGCACCAGTTGGTGCATTAGATGATGCTAACATAAAATTTTGCATTTGTTGTTGTGATTGTTGTTGTTGTTGTTGATTTAATTGTGCCCATGGTCCAGCTGGATGACGATGACGACCACGTGGACGTTGAGGTGCTGCTGCAAATATAACAGCACGATTAGATGCATTTTGTATTGCTGCTGCTTCTGCTGGTGTTAAGTTTGCTGCATTATTTGGATTATCAAATGGTGGACGAAGTGTTTGAGTGAAATAAGGTGATGCACATGGTAAACTTCGATCGATTGATTCTAAAATAAAAAGTTGAAAATGTGTTTGTTTCGCAAAAAAAACTTACGTATTATAGCTGGTCCTCGAAGACGAGGTATTGGAAGTATAGGTGGATTAGGCAGTTGTTGTGGTGGCATAGGAAGATCCATTGGTGGTAAATCAATCCAATCAGCATCATCATCTTCAATACTTGATGTTGTTGTGGATGTTGCTGGATTATTATTTGTTGGCCGTGAATCAGCTGAACGTGATCGGAATGTTTCACTATGACGTAATGCTGCTATTGATGATGAATCAGGTTGAAGAACAAATGTTGACCGTAAAATTGAATCTGTTACATTCGAATTATTATTATTCGATGTTTGATTATTAATATTTGTATTATTTGGTACTTGTTGATTAGCCATCTGAGCAAAATGTTCTATAAAATTTCAAAGAAAAAACAAGACAATATATTCATTTTTCTTTGGAAATAATTAAGAAAAAATTTGTAATACGAACGTTGAACACTATTTGATACACGTTGTGCAATTTCAGCGGCAAGATTACTATCGAATTGACCACCATTTATTTGAATAGGACCACTTGAGATGACATGTGTTGCACCTTGTGGAAGATTATCTAAAATAGAAAATATTTTTTTTCAGTACAATATGAAAAAAAATAAATATTTAAATAAAATAACATACTTAATGGTGGTCGATTTGTTGACGATTGTTGTTGTGATGATGAATTAGCTGCTTGTACATCTGCTACAACTGATGCTGAAACTTGATTTAACGTTATACCATCTGGACCCATCTGCATGAATGTGTATGGTAATGTACCTAAATTAAAACGCATCGATTGTTGCATTCCACCATTATTAGCTGTCAATGGTGCAGGAGGACGAATAGGAAGTGATGATCGTGGCGGAGCATTAAATACCTGAACAATAAAAGAAGCAAGAGAAAGTGAAATAAAAATAAATAAATTTCAAATGAACCATGCGAGGAATAGCACCCATTGGATTTTGAAATGGCATTCGAGCTTCTCCTGATATCACAGCTG